CGGAGCCCTGTGGGCAGCTGCTCTTTCTGTGTGTGTGAGAGAGAAGCACAGGAGGCACAAGAAGCAGAAAGCCCCTTATGGAGAAAGGGAGGAGTCACAGTGGAGAGCTGCACAGCACGCAGGGCTGAAGAAATCCCTGAGCTGCAAACCTGCAGACTGTGGGTAGTGTATTTTGGTTCTGGCACGGGCTGAAAGTTCTGCGTTTGTCCCATCTTCCTCTGCACACCTGGGAGCAGTGTTTCTGTGTTCCGTGTTGAAGGAAGTGGGTGGCTGTGTTGGAGAGGGGTCCTAGGAGCCTAACCTAGGTTGTCATGGCTGTAGGTGCAGTCAGTCCCTAGGGCTCCTTCAGCCCTCTGTTGTGCTGCCAAAGGAGAGAGCCTGTGTTTAGGGACATTTAATGCCATGTTTTGTAGCATAGCTTGGGAACTGATCAGTGTAATTCTGCCTCAGTGTGGTTTACACACAAAGCAGGAGTGTAACAGGCTACAGAGATAACAAATTAGAAACTGTATTCGAGATGAGCGAACAAGTATTTTTAGCCTCTGAATGCAAGGTTTTGTTGCACTGAGTTCCTGAACAGTGTGGAGCGATTGCACCTCCATAAGAAAACAGAACTGAATTCAAGATGCAGCTCTTGCAGCTCCTGACCCTGTGGGAGGAGCTTTGGCAGTGAAAAGCTGGAGCCTGGGTGGGCGCAGGCCTGTAGTACTCCTGCTCTTGACTTACTGAACTTACTTTATTTACTGCAGCCTCTTCCTTTGTACATAGAAATGATGTCAACTGACAGCAGCCCTATTTTGGAGCAAGCATGCAAGCACATCTTTCAGAACAGAGTTATTGGTAGGTGGTTTCCTTTTGAGGTTCACCTGCCTTCTGTGTCCTACTCTGACTCTAGTCTGTGCTTAATGATTCACCACATCTTTCCTGGATTCTTGTCTTTCTGGTTTTCAAAGAGCATAGAGTCTGCTCCAGCCTTCAGGAAACCTTTGGAAAGGGATGGATGGTTTCAGTTGGGGGATTTGAGTGTATTTATAGTACTCTATAAATAGAGGCAGGAGGAATACTTGCAAAGCAGGTGGTACTGGGACATTTATAGAAAAAGTATGATTTATACACAGATTGTTCCAGGCAAACCTTTTGCCTGTAGCCTGTCTTCTGCAGAGCTCTTCTGAGTGCTATGAATATTTATGCTGCTTTGTTGTGGTATTTTAAACTTGCTTTCTGCTTGTGAAATGACATGTTTGTCTCTTTAAACAACAGGAGGAGTGGAGGGAGAAAACCATTTCCTGGGCAGACTTGTCTGCAGAGCTTTTACAGAGTCTTTAATGGTTTTGGAGCAGAGAACAGCTCAGCTCACAAACACCCCAGCCTTTGCCTCTGCTCTTGGAGAAGTGCTTTACAAGGTCTCTCTACTTCAAAGCATTCTCTTTGGGAAACCTTTGTGGCCTTTTGTGCTCAGCTGTGTCCTTTTGCCATGTTTCAAACCCAAAGCCCTGTTGCTGTTAGCATAGCAGGTGCTCAGGTGAAGTTGTGGTGAAGAGTCATGTAGAGCTAGTCAGATCTTGTGCTGTAATCACAAGTTCCCCAGATTTAGTCCAGGGTGATCACACTGAGCTTACCAGGACCTTGGGAAGAGAAAAGTGCATGCACCTGCATATGGAATATCCTCTGAACTGATTGAAACGAAGTCCCAAGGCTGTGACAGCCATTTCTGGAGAGCTCAGAAGTGAGCGGATTGGGAAGAGTTCAGCAAGTTAAAAAAAGCTGCTTGCAAGCAATGATGGGACCTCCTGTACCTTTTCCTTCAAAAACCTTTGATTTTCTAGGAGAGGTGGAAAAAAATCAAATTTTCTGGATGAGTAGATTTAGAATCAAAAGATTTAGAAAAGAAATCCACCACCTAGCTGTTTGAGGCTGTGCAGGTTTAATCTTTCTGTGTGATTTTGCCCTCAGTTCAGTGATTTTCAATAGCTTCCTGGCTTCCCTTCTGAGCTCCTGCTCCTGGGTGGGAATCTGCTCTGAGCCGAGGAGCCTCCCAGGCTGACTGTGCTGTAGACTTACTGCAGAGCAGGCCTCTTGCTCTTCTGTGAACTCCCCTACAGAAGTTTTCCCTGCTTTTTGAGCCCAGATGGTGTTAAGGAAGATTTGTCTCTTATCTCTCAAGGAAGTTTCACGTAATTCTGAGCCCAGCACCCAAACCCACAGCCTTTCTTGTTGCTTTAAGGAAGGGGCACCATGCAGTGCCTATCATGGGTAACACAGCAGTTTGCTGAAGCCCAGGAAACCTCCTGCCCTGAGACAGTATTTGGAGCAGCGGCAGACTAGGAAGATAAACAGCAGATTAGTTTGAGAGTGATGTTGTTTATTGTGTGCAGTGTAGCTGCATCTAGAGACCAAGTATGAAATCGAAGTTGATGAGATAAAAGCATTTGATAATCCTTGCTTTGAACCCCTACTTAGGTTTTTATTCTTCTCATATAATAAAAGATTCACCAAGTTAGTGCATGGGATTTACAGAATGTGTCTCCCCCTCTCGAGACTTTGTGCACTTCATGGAAATGCTTATATGGACAGCAGTGTCCTCTGCATCCCAGAGTATAGCCCAGGGGAAACCAGGAGAAATATCTGCAAGGCTTTAGCAGAAGTACCTGTGAGCATCTAATGCAATTGGTGCTTTGAAGTGTTATTGGTCAGTCAAAACTCGGTGGAGAGGGGTCAATAGATGCCCTGCTTCCCTGTAGACTCTGGATTAGGCAGAAATGTGTCAGCCCAAGGCTCAGGAACTTCCCACTCCCTTGTGTATGAAAACCCACAGAGAAAGGTGGCTGGTGTGTGCACAGCTTTTTAATCCCTTTGGGGAGAGTAGACAGCTTCTTGGTCTCTTGAGTGACCCCAAGGATAAGTGTCACCTTTCTCCCTGCCACTGGGCCCAGCAGGTGTGTTTTCAAAGGAGCGTAAGAGGGATAAGCTCTCCAGATAATAAGGTGAAGGTGGTCATTCTTGTTGTGTATCACCTGCTGCAGATAAGCCTTGTGATGCTTGTTTGAAACTCCTTTTGTGTCTGTAACCTTGTGGGATGGGGAGAACCTGTCAGTCCCAGTGTATATGGAAGTTGTAGTTCCTTGGTAGAAGGACAGTAGCCAGCTTTCCTCTGGGACTCCTCTGAATAAAAATTCATTGTGAGGTAAGGGGGTTGTTACCTTTAAATTAACTGTTTCTGAAACTCTCACAACTGGTATGTTTTATGGACAAAAATCTGAACTATAAAAATCATTTAAAGTTTCCAAAAGCAAAGGAGCTAAAAGAGAAGAAAGTTGATATGGCTGATTTTCAGAGTGAAACGTATTTTGGTTTGTTTTGTGCCAGTCTGGCTTCTGCCACACCAGTGTTAGTCCTGGCACAAAGGGTGTAGCTTTGCACAGTGTTTGGGGTGAGGGGGACTCTTCCCTCCAGGAGCAGGACACGCCTCTGTGGAATTCAGGTGTCTGGAGAAACACACTTGCAGTGTTCTTTTTCCACTTTTTTCCCTTCTGTGGTTAGTAGCCATGCATTACCTTGCACAAAGGTCTGGCTTCTGCCACACCAGTGTTAGTCCTGGCACAAAGGGTGTAGCTTTGCACAGTGTTTGGGGTGAGGGGGACTCTTCCCTCCAGGAGCAGGACACGCCTCTGTGGAATTCAGGTGTCTGGAGAAACACACTTGCAGTGTTCTTTTTCCACTTTTTTCCCTTCTGTGGTTAGTAGCCATGCATTACCTTGCACAAAGAATTTGTGGCAGTATTTCCCTAGCACCTTCAGCTGATGCCTGGGAAACCCACCACACACTTATTTCTGTCTGTGACTGCTTTCATTTCATCTGCAGTAAGAGGTAACAACCAGATAGTCTGTACCGTTGGGCATGAGCATTGCTTGCCAGAGCCCTCTTCATATTGCTGCAACTGCTTGCTCTAGACATTCTCCTGTCTAGAAACACAGACAGAGCCTCTAGAGTTAAAATTAAATCCCCGATATACTCGGCTGTATTTTTCCGTCATCCTCATTGCTGTATTTATACTGGAAGATTTCTCCTCTGGCTCTGTGGCAGCAGAGATTTCCCACAGACATATGGCAGCCTTGCATAGTGTTGATTACATTTTTTCCTTCCCTTTGCTGACTCTGCACCATCTGACAGCGTGATGGTTTGGGCTGCCCAGATAAGTGTTACCTGCACATGTTTCACTGCACCAGCACTATCTAGGGGCCCTGGGTTTTGGGTTGTCTTACGTTCTGTCAACAAGGAGCTTGGGTCTCCACACCTCTGTCTCCCAGGCATGGATGCAGTGTTGGCTGCATGTCTTGTGGATACAGCACAGCCCGGCCTTTGGTGAGGGGTTCAGGTAGATCGTCTCAGACAGGATGAGAAAGGTGTTTGGAACAGGAGCTATTTTGGTATTATTCTTCACTCCTCTGTCTTCACCTATCCTTGAAGAGGTTTTTCCTACTGTATAAACCAAAACAAAATTTAAGCTGTGCTCTCTTGAAGTATGTTGTGTGAAACTGCATTACCTCCTGATGGTGTGTTGGCCATGGCAGGGGGAAGTCAGTATTGGCACTTACTGAACACAGTTTTTCACAGTAATGGTTCAGTCATTTCCAGTTCATTCCCAGACACACCATGGCTGAAGTATCAGCAATCCACAGTTGCTGATGTGATGCTGAAAGTGATGTGAACTCTCTCAGCAGAAAGGGCTGAGCTTTCAGGCACAGCTTTCAGTGGGCAAGGAGTAACCAGACTGGCACAGTGTGAGCATGACTGGGTTTGCCTTCTGCACTTGCAGGTTCTTTGTGTTGCAGAAACAATGAGCTTCTTGCAGGCTTCAGCTGGAGCACAGATAGGTCTCATGAAAAATCTCAAAGCTCTCTTTGGCTATCATTGTTTCTAATGCTGTTTCTAACAATATGCCTTTGTTTCAGAATCACCATTTGCTGCTCTGAGGATTGATTGGCTCCACTGCCAGCACCATGGATGAACTGCAGGATGTTCAGCTGACAGAGATCAAGCCGCTCCTGAATGACAAGGTAATGCTAGCTGCTGCTGTGCTCTCACAGGTGTGCTTGGGCTGACCTTGTGTCTGGCAGGGAGCCCTGATTGCCAGAAGCTGTTTACAGCTTGAAGTACCTTAAGTACTGAAAACCAGCAAATTCTTCCCCACCCTGGTAGTCCACCACCAAATACTCTTTCAGACCCTCAGGGAAAGACAGACCACCACAGCTCAGGTAAGTCTGAGGTCCTGACCAAAAATGGAAAGGTGATCCCAAACCTGACCTGGCATGGCTGTAGAACCTCTAATAAGTTTCTCCTCGTTAGAGGAGCCTTGATTGGTATCCTACTTTCTTTTGGGGTTTTTTTTTGTTTGTTTAAAATATTTTGTCTTAAATTATCCTTTAGTGTTTTGCCCCCAAATCAGCCCTGTCTCCCTGGATTTAGTAATGGAAAGGCATTTCCTTCTAGTGTCTGCAGAGTCCAGCTGGAACAGTCCAGATTCATGCAATATGGAGACTTCAGAAAATCACTGTATTGCAGCAGCTGTTTCAAGCTTTCACTCTGTCTTCTGTGGGGTGGAGAAGAGCCATCTGGGCTTCAGGGGAGCCCTGGCCTCAGTGGGTTGTGCCACAAACTGTTGCTCATAGTGCCTAAGTCATTACAGGCATCCCAACAAGATCTAGCATCTTGCATCTGCAGACTGGAGTTTGGAGTTTTGTTGAGACTCCAAGCTGGAAGTTGGAGTCACCATCCCTGGAATTGTTTAAGAGGTGTCTGGAGCTGGAAGATATGGTTCAGGGTTTAGGGGTTACAGCAGTGACAGGTTAATGGTTGGACTTGGTGTTCTTAGAGCTCTCTTCCAACCTTGGTGATTGTGATTCTAACTGTGATGATGAACAATGTGGTTTGGTTGCTTTCCAAAGCTCACAGCCAAGCCCAGTGGTATGGGAAGCAGTTCCCAACGCTTTGCTGTTTAATGTCTGACATCAGGAACTGGCTTGTGCTGCCAAAGGGCTGTGCTGCTTTGTGCACTCACTGCTGTTTGCAGAAGACTCTGCTGTCTAGTGCAGATTCCCCACAAAATGGGTTAAACCTCTGAAACTCTGCTGTGTTTTAGTCTGTACCACTTCATTTTTGCTCATTTCTTTAGCATATCTGTTGAAATCTAAAACTTCAGCTGAAACCTGCAGTCCAGCTGCCAGTTCTGACAGACTAGTGCTGGCTACTGGGCTTCCACCATAGCCTCAACACCACTTTAAAAAGTGTTTCCTAGGAGGATGAGTCTTGGAAGGACAGAATCAGTGCAGACCTGCAGATAAAAATACAGAAAGGCCTTGAGAACAGTTTGTGATTTCAAAACAAGAGATAAACATTTACAGAAAACAAACTTCTTACATGCAGTGCCCCACATCTTGCTCATGATTTCCCTGGGGTTTTCCATGTTTGAATTCAAGAAGGTAGATTGCCCTTGCTTCAGTCAGCTGACCCAAGTAGGAGGTATTGAAGAATGACAAAATAAAGTGGTTTATAACTTTATAAGTTTTCACTCTCTCTATCAGGTATTGCCTGGTCAGTCCCATCCAATCCTTGCCATGGTGTCAGTTCTAGTTCAAGTGCAGAGTGCTCACCTGAACAGAACATCCAGTGGTGTTAACCAGCACACAGAAGGGCACAGGGAGAGTGATGTTTGATTTCCTTGGCTCGGTTTGGAAGTTACAAGAACTATCTCAGTAGGGAAAAATACATAGAGTGGCTCCAGAACCATCCTCAGGGCTGCATGGGAGGAGAAGTGTGCTGTGGCTCTCATTTTCACACTTTGTTTTAACAAAAGGAGTGTCTCAGGGAACTGCCCTCTCTGAGGTCTGGCCCCTTATTTCAAGCTTTCAATAATACAATTGTGCTTTTTAGCTGCAGTTTACGGAACATGTGGGTGTGGTGCCACAACCTGCTGTTCTGTGCAGTGTGTCAGGGTCCAAAAACTGTTGAGCTGGCAGTTCACTAAGATTTTCACTGCTCAACACACTTCAGATGTAGGAGTTTGAGCCAGCATTAATCCAATGGCCAGAAATAGTACAGTAACACTCTTAAGGTGCTAATGGGTGAGTGCTCATGAACTCTTCAGAGGGAAAGGCTGCTCTACAGAGGGGAGGAGCTCTGGTATCTCAAACTCCAAAACTCAAACTCCAAAACTAGTGGAATTGCCTGGGAAATTGAAATGGGTCATATCTTGTTCACTTGCCTGAACTGTAGGTAATGGCACTGGGGACAGCTGAGCCCTGGCTTTGCTCTGTCTCAAATCAGCAAAAATTTAGAGGCTTGACTTTTAAAGAATGCAAACACTCTTTTGTTTGTGTGCAACATAAGCCTAAGTGCAGGGAAGTAAAATGTATTTTTTACTCATTCAGGCTCACTAAAATGCAGGGACTTTATACTGGGAAAGAAAATGAACTTCAAATGTTCCCATTTAGTTGAAAGTCTGAGAAGGAGGGAGTACTGCCTGTAACCTGATTGGAAGACTTATCCCAGTGACACTGTGTTATCTTCTCTGGTCCATATTCTGGCACCTTTGACTCCACTCACAGCCCCAGTGAAAAGTTACTGAAAGGCCAGAGGTGGATTCAGGAGATGGAATGGGCAGCCCTGAGGCTGGTTGGGTCAGCCCAGCTAGCTTTGAGGTGCAGCCTGGAAAACTTGTCTTAAACTTTCTCAAGTTAAAACAATGAATAAATGGTTTAAAGTCAGATATTTGGTGTCTTAAAACCAAATATGCATGAGTCAGGACATGTCAGCACTGATGCTGCTGGTGCCTTGTGGTACACCCTGGCAACAAGCAGCCAATTCCAGCCTTCATTCCTTGCTTTTTGTCATTTCGTTTCCTGCTCCCTTGGGGAATCTCAGGCTTTGCTCAGTACAAATTCAGATCAGGCTTTTCTTTACTTAGCATGCACCACCCAAATCCAGTGCTGGTACAGAAGTTTCTCATTTCTCCATAGGCTTTGTTAAAGTCGTTAATCTCTGGGGCACTGGATGTCTGAATTGACCTTCTTCATGACCTGGTGGATAAGAACACTCTGCTGTCTGCATTTAACAGCACAGAGTTATCAGAAATCTCCAGTAATTTCAGGTTCTCAAACTGAAATAAGAGAGGGCTGCTTTTTATTGCCTTTTCCCCCATTCTAAGGACATGGTGGGTTTTGCCATGTCACACTCAAAACACTGACACAGTTCAATACTTTACACCGAGGAGGAAAGGGGGAAAGGGATTCTTAAAACTGCAGATATCTCAAATATCTCAAACTGCAGAACCTAGGGATCAACCCCTGTTCTTGCTAACGTGGCAAGGCTCTGTGAGGAGGGAAACAGGGCCATGTGTTTACCCGTGGAGAGGGCTGAGGGTGCTCAGCCAGAAGAAATGTTTGTGGTGTTTCTGTTGTGCATATGTGATCCTAGTTGTAGTTTTAGTACTGAGGTGCTGTGCCTAAAACACACAAGCTGGAATGCTGTCTCAAGTGGTTGGTTCAGCCTTTTGCAGCAGCTGACAGCTCTCAGGGGTGTAACCTACCCTGTGTCAGAGACAGTGTCTCACAAAGCACATGGGCACGCAGACAGGTTCCTGCAGACCTTCAAACCTGCAGTGTGCCAAGTGTGTGCTGTACCAACTGTGTTCACCTGGGTCACCCTCTGGGAACAGTCAGTTGTGAGCTGCTGAGCCCTGTGCCCAGTGGTTTGCAGGTCTCTGCATCTGCCATGGAATGATCCCATGCCTGTGGCAGTCTCTGCAGGGTAGCTGACTGCGTGGCTTGTTTTCTTGTTCTCATTGTATGGCATACCAGGGATAGTCCTTGGCACCCAGATTGCTAATGGACACCAGGACCAGACAAAACCCAGCCCCATACCCAGCCCAGCTTTGGCCAGGGTCCTTACTAAGTGCCACTGTCCCTGCTTGAATGCTCTCAGCTGTGCCCACAGGTACTCCCCTTAGGTGGCAGCCTCGGGACAGCCCCCATGACCTTGCTGTATAGGAATGGGCACAGCTTGCATGGGCCCTGCTTGGACGGGTCTCCCATTTCACTGCTGGCCTGACTGCAGCCAGGCTCAGCTGTGCTGAACAAAGGTCTCTGAGGGGATCAATCATGCTGTTGTTGGGGGTGTTGTGGGGCACTGTGCTGAACTCCTTTTTTTTTTTCCCCTGTTTTTCATTAACAGAATGCAGCTCGCAACTTCCAGGACTTCGACTGTCAGGTAAGTCACGTGCAGGAGACAAGGGTCTGTTGGTAGCCTCCCCACAGCCTAGCAATAATGCTGAGAGAGGTGAAAAAGCTCTCTATCTTCATTTTAGCTCCTGTTAAGGTTTAATCAATAACAACTGAAATATGTCCAGTGGCAGAAATTGTCCTTCATCTGTCCTTGCCGAGCTCTGAGGTACAGACCTGCGCTGCCCTGCCAAGGCTACACGACATCTTGCAGGATGGCTAGTCTCCTGGAAAGCAGTTTCTTGGAAAAATGCAATATGCTGAAGAACTGCAGCTCTGTCACATCCCATCTGGTTCACTGGCTGGGAAAGGAGGAGCTTGCATGCTTCAGCTATTTGCCTTGAGAGGAGATGGAAGTTACCAAGCTGCCCCAGATACAGCACCCTGCTTTGCTGGGCCTGGGTCTTGACACAGCCATGGTCATTTTCTAGGGGGTTATTGCTGGTGCAGAGATGAGCCCGATGGCTCTGGTTGCCATAGGAACAGTCCTGCCACAGGAGTGGTTGCTCCCCAGCATCCAAGGCAGAGGACACACTGTGGTAGGCGGAGCACAGCGCTGAGGTTCCGTGGGGTGTTCTGTGGAGCACAGGCTCATTCTCCCTGTCGGGTTATCCTGCTGTCTTCCCACTGAGCATGTGGATGTGCAGCCAGTGGCTGTTCTTTCCCTTCAGCTGTGGGAAGCTGCTGTGTCTGTAGTGCTCTGCTCAGTGTAGGGCAGGTCACCGAGCACAACGGCAGGGATAGGGCTGGCAACATCATGGGATTGATTTGTTAAAGGTCTGGGGATGTAGGTGATTCCAGAAAACTGTTTGCAAGGCTGTGCAGGACAGGAATGTAATAAATACAGTCCTACGAAGGTAGATGTATTTTTTCCATCTCTTGTTGTCAGACACTGATAGTACCCCCATGTGGGCAGGCACATGTCACTGCACAGCTAGATTCATTGTGAGTTCTGGTATTAGCTTAAAGCCTGCAAGTATGGGAACCACTGATCTTAGCACATCATAACTTTAGTATCTAGTCTGAGGAGCAGCAAGAGTGTTAAGCAATTATTTTTATTAAATAAAAATAAATGGAGGGTTTAAAACACTCTCCTGTACCATCTTGTCTCCATTTTTCTGTATCTTCTCTGTCACCTCCAGGCGTAGTGTGCTCCCACATCAGATGGGTAATGGGTAAAAACAGGTGCGATGCCACTGAGTAAGTGTTAGATAGCAGAGGTATTTTGTGCTGTGACCTGTCTGCCAGGATTGGGAAGGATATGAATGTGCTGCCTGAGCATATTTGCCTCCACTGCCAATTCCCTGCTGACCCTCCAAAGGTCTGGGTGTGCCTGTGTCCCACCTGGCTGTAAGCAGGGTGGGAAGGAGTCCCTGTCACAGAGCTGTGCATGGCTGCTGCCTTTTTTTGCTTTCCCTCAACAAGCAAAGCCTCTTTGCTTGTTTCTCTTTGCTGCTTTAAACAGAGCCCCAGATCTGAAGCTGGGTGAGCCCCACAGAGACCTGGTGCTGCAGCCACTGAGGTGTGTGCTCGCCGCGTCCCAGCGCTGCTCCTGTCTGCCCCGGGAAGGGCTGAGTGGCCTGCAGCCAGGGAGAGGGGCTCTGGGGAGTGCTGGGCCGGGAAGGACGTGCTTGGTGCTTCTCTGTGCCTCGCTGTAGTTCAGCAGTGAGCTGGTGGCCATGGCAACAGTTGGGCAGGAGATGATGTTCCTTCCCGGAGCCCTCTTGGTAATTCATTTAGGGTAATATTTTTTAGCAAGAAGTTAGCACGGTGTCTCCTGTGTCTGTTAATGTTGTCCCAGCCTTCCTCCAGCAGCTCTACCTACAAGGTGTGGTTTCAGGGCACACCTGGCTTGGCACCCCCTGTCCTACCTGGAAAGTACCTCAAGGTCTGGATTAAGTCTCCATTTGAAATCTGCCAGAGAGGATAGGTGGGTTTTCTGCCTCAGTTGCTAGTACCAGGAACAGTGCTTACACTTGGAGATTGAGCTCGTGTCGTCCTGTGGAAAATTACTGCTGCTTTTTAATCTGGCAAAGCACATCCAGCTGCCACATCCAGGCCTCTGAAAAACTGGTGTGACGTTACCAGTGTAGGGGGAATTGGAAGTGAAGACGTTTGCCAAGGCTTTCAGAGGAAGGAAGATCCTGTTGTGTAAAGGAAGACTTAAAAGCACATAGGCTGAGGCAGGAGTTTAATTTCTCCTGAGTTTCACAGGGAGGGAGAGCCTTGGGGACGATCTCAGTTTGACAGGAGCAGGCACAAGCTGACCACAGATTGGTGAAGGCTGAGAACTGGAAGATGGTTATATGCCATGGTTAGATGCCAGTTATAGTGCAGTGGAGATCCCAATCAGCTTCCAATAGCAGCAACATCTGCAAGGGTCATGGTGGGTTTTAAGGCAAAAATTAAAGGTTTTGTGGGGTGGATTGTACTATCCTATACAGTATAGTGTTTGCAGTATGAGATCTGCAGTGAGATGTGAAACCTTCATTTCAGACCTTTTTATTTTTCTAGTGGTTCAAAAAAGTCTGTTTTAAATGGAGATAGAGCTGTGGCTTTGTCTGGGCTGACCACATTGTGGGCAGCGGGCAGTGGGGCAAGGGAAGGGTAGACCTCTGTCAGCATTGTTGATAACCTTGCTGGCAGTGCTGGTCCAGTTTGAGCTCCCCAGCACAAGACATTGAAATACTGGAGTGACTCCTTGTTTAGTTCAGTCTGTGTTATTCTGTGCCCTCAGCCATGAGGTGCTTTGCTCTGAGTCCATCCCAGCTCCTTCCAGGAGTGAGCAATGCCCCTGCCAAAGCCTCGAATACAGGGGGAGTACCACAGCCAGCCTCTGTTTGTTCATCCTGTGGTGCCTCTAGACCTCCTGGAAGCTGGAGTTTCAAAATACTCTGTGCAGCTGGGCCATGCCTGTGTTTGGGAGGTGTTTAGTTTAATCCCTGCTCAGGAGCATGTCATTAGCACTGTCACTGACTGCGGGAGGTGTGCAGTGCCAGGCACACAGGTTCCCCACACTGTTTTCTGTACAGCTTTGGCATGTGTTACTTTTCAGGGTAACATGTATATTTGAAGTTTGCAAGATCTTTCCTCTGGGGGAAAGGGGTGATGCCACTGTGAATTTCTATTAATTTCCCCTGTGCTTGTTTTTATGTTTGAATAACTTTACAGGATCAGATCTGGGCAGAGCCAACAGAACAAGCATCCTCCTGCTTCTGAAATTTGTTACTCTGGGTGAATGTGTGTGACGCTTTTAGCTTTTCTGGTGCAGTTGACTTCCAGATACAGGTGCCCTGGTTTTCTTAAACTGTTCATCTGCAAGCAACCCCAGCTAACCCTGGCACATAACAGATTGCCTGGGCTGCAGTTAGACACCCCCACGTAATCTGGTAACTGTTTGCAGTGGAGATGAAACGAGAGCTAGCACGGGGGCTTAGGGTCTTTACCAATATGAATTTAGGTTATTCTCAGAACTAAAAAGTATTAACCTAAATCCGAGACCTACATTTTACTTGAAAGCTATATGAACTCTAATGAAATCCAGGCTTGGCTTTTTCCAGTGTCTCTGGGCAGATGGTCAAATAAACGCTCTGGGCTGCTGATGGACAGATGGTGCACCATTAATAGAGCTGTGCCTGTGCTTTTATTATGATCTGCAGACCCTCTTCAGCTGCTTTCAGAAGTAGGTGTTCTGTCTCAGCCTAAATCTCCTCCCTCTTTTCAGGTGATTCGCTTTAAATACAAATGAAGGCATATTTGTAAAGTTATCCAAACAGCCTTGCATTGTGTCTCAGCCTGACATAAGCAGCCATTTGATCTGATGTGTAGCTGACACTTCTCCTCTGCTGCCTCCCACCCACGGGGAGGCAGAGAAGTGTTTGGCTTTCAGCACGCAGCGTGCAGAAGGTGCCCTGAGGTGTGGGGATGGTCTGGGATTCGGCAGAGCTTTTGCAGAGAGTTCACAAGGTGTGCAGGAGGTGGGAAAAGTCCAGGACATGCAGGGTTCATCTGAAACAGAAAAGGCAAGGCATGCATAAACCCCTGAAGGAAAGAAATTAGAGCTTGCCAGGACAAAATCTTGCTGTGCCTTTCTGCCATTAATGGAGCGTGTAGATTTACTCAGAGTTCTGTATCCAAAGCCCATGTTTTTTACTGATGCAGTTTCAAAGTTCTTTCACACGTACATTTGTTTGTTTGAAGCTTTTTAATCTGCATTTTTAAAAATTTGCTCGTCCTTGCTCGGTCTCTTTGCTTTATTTCTGGTTGCTGTGCGGTCAGAGATGATATCTGCTGCTGAGAGGTGATTGAAATGTCCCATCGAGTGCATTGCTGGTATCAGAGACATTGAATTGGAAGTGTGTTCATTATTTGATTACAGCCAGCTTGTGGGTGCTGCCTGGTGGCACTGCGTGCAAAACGTTTTAAGGCATCTTCTATTTATTGTGGTCAAATAGCAAAGAAAGTTAGCACTTTGAGGAAGGGTTTGCTTTCTCCCTGTGAGTAATGGGAGCTATTCTCACCAGCAGTGCAATGTTCTGTCTGGGATATTGAGGACCATTGTTCCTCTGATTTGTACAATGAGTTCTTTTGTTCTTTTGTTCAAAGTGCTAGAGTGAAATTAATTACAACACAGAAGATGTTTTGATCTAGAAAGCAAGTTTATTTAATGCCTGCTAAATTAATGCTTCTCTGAAGCTTATTAAAAGTAGCACCACCACTAGAGTACTGGGTTTGACTTCTGCTGATGTCACAGCAGCAAATACTGTAAAGCTAAACATTATTAAAATGGAATTCTACTTTGGCCTTTTTTTTTTCATTTTTTTTATTTCTTGGGAAGCTTTTCCCCTGATTCCTCCCATCACTGGTTTTCCATCTAAAAGCTGTATTTTCTGTAAAACTGCAGGGTTGAGTTCTGGAAAGATTTAACTAGGTGGACTTGAACTGAAACATGACTTATTTTTAAACCTATGCACACAGTCTTTCCATGGG